GGGGGTGACTTTTCACCTTTCTCCCCTCGGAATCGTAGGTGAAGACCGGCAGGTTCCCAATCAGAAAGTTGTTCCTTCGTTTCAGTCGAATTATGTGTTCCTTTCCGGCTGCCTTGATGATGTACGAAAGTCCGTCCTTCTTGGCCTTTCCTCTCTCTGGTTCTAACCGCCTGGGAATAATTATTTCATAGGACATATACGGAGGAAGTGAGTCAGAATGCATGGTGGGAAAGATGCATTCCACCACTATAACGCATAATAGGAAACAGAGACGGTTCCTCAGCTCTTTGTCACGACCGGCCATGATTTAACTCAGTGTTAGACTGAGCTTGTTCCACATTACGGTCACTGGTTCTGAGCAGCCTGGAACAGAAAAGAGAGATGCGATGAACACATTAAGCGTCTTCACACTGAGGCAGACCCTTGGTCTATCAAGGTCCGTATTGCCTACTCTGACTGGGAGCAGTTCTCCTCCAGGGTCTTTAACATCACCTACAAGGGCTCCCTCTAAGCTGTGGAGTCTTGTGAGCAGAAATTCTACTCTGTGAGCCACTGGCATCAAAGTTGTGAGAGAGCCATTTGGTAACTGCATAAATTAGTTTGCTCTGGAGCCATCCCTCCTGAGCGAAGACAAAAATCTGTGAGCTGGAGGCCAGTTTGGTGTAGTGGTTAAGTGCGTGGACTCTAATCTGGGAGAACCGAGCTTGATTCCCCACTCCTCCACTTGCACCTGTCTGGATGACCTTGGGCGAGCCATCCTTCTCTCAGAGCTGTTCTCGAAAAAGAGCCGTTTCTCTCTGAGCTCTCTCAGCCCCGCCTACGTCCCAGGGTGTCTGTTGTGGGGAGGGGAAGGGGGATTGTAAGCCACCCTGAGACTCCAAGTGAAGGGCAGGGTATAAATCCAATCGCCTCCTCCTCTTCCAATAGCAGACTTCCTCCACTGGCACCCAGGAACGTAAGAAGGGGATCCCGAATCCTCCATCTTTGTAGTTGGCTCACCTCCGTTTCCTCTCCTCTCCAGTTTCCCTCCTACCCCATGATGTTAAATTCCTAGAGCGTGCCGTTCACGCCCACCATCTTGACTTCCTCTGATCTCTGGGGCTGTTTTCTCCCTCTTGCCAGGCTTCTCCAGTGCTCTGCTCTGGGGACGATGCGATTCTGTCTACACACTGTCCCTGAACGAATTCCTCCAGTTTCAGGGCTTTCAGTACCACTAGTTATGCCCTGTTTTACTTCTTTATCCATAAACTTCCTTTCTTCCTCCTATCCTACATTTCCGATTGCCTCTCTACAGCCGTGGTGTCTCATTGCCAAAGTATGTCCAGCTCCGTATGTCCAAAGCATCTTTCCTCTCAAGCTTCCCTTTCGTCTTACGCAGTCCATGTCCATGCGTAGCATCACCTGCCTTGGAACTTTTTAAAACCCTGCCGTTGCTAGATCCCCATCGTGAAATAATAACCATCTATTGCCATGATCTGTGTTTCTCTGATTCCCAGCTTTCATTTTTTTTTAAAGGTAAGCTTCTAGCCCGTTTCATTGCAGAGGTATAAGTGGTACACACTTCCCCTTATATCTCCATAACAAAAAGGGCTAGGGAGCTGGGAATTCAGAGGGATGTAAATAATGGCAATAGATTCTTAATAATATTGTGCTAGAGCCAGGGCTTTTTTGTAGAAAAAGTCCAGCAGGGACTCATTAGCATAATATGCCACACCCAACAGCAGAAACTCATTAGCATATTATGCCACACCCCTGACAGAGCAGCTCATTAGCATATTAGGCCACACCCCACATTACCAGAACTGTGGTCATCCAGCCATACCCACCTTTTGCTTCTTATTCTGTTTACCTTATTTTTTGTAGCAGGAACCTTTTGCATGTTAGGCCCCACACCTCTAATGTAGCCAATCCTAATGAGTTCTTGCTGTTGGGTGTGGCCTATTATTCATTCAACGAGTTCCTGCTGGGTGTGGCCAACTCAGGAGCCATCCGGAACTCCGTTCCTGTGCGTTCCTGCCCAAAAATAGCCCTGGCTAAAGCAGTGGTTAGGGTTAGGTGGCACTCAGAGCCCTCTCTGTGGGCACACGTGCCATCGCCCCAGCCAGGCCCAAACCATCATTAAAGTGTCGAATTCTCTGCCAAATAATTTTAAGTCAATGAAAGCATTTGGGATTGCTTTCCTTACTTTGTTTGGATCATCTTAAGTTAATGTAGGAGTTGTTTTTTCTAAAGTAAAACCTCAGTATTCAGGTTAAATTGCCGTGTTGGCACTTTGCGATAAATAAGTGGGTTTTGGGTTGCAGTTTGGGCACTCGGTCCCTAAAAGGTTTGCTATCACTTTGCTAGAGTGATCTAGCGACTTCTGGCTTTTTAATGCTGGGGGGGGAAAGGTCCTCCAGCGGCAGGGAGACGCATGGCCACCAGGGGGCAGGGAAGGCTGAGGCAAGGAAAATGCAGGAAAGGCTTCACGGTTACTCCACCGCTGCGGCAAATGCCTCTGCATCCGCACAGGCTACAGTAAGACTCATCCCCGTAGGGAAGCACTCTGAGTAGCGCAACACCTGCCTTCACAACACTGCAAAGATCTGGTCCCTCCACCCTTCCCCAACCAAAAAACTCTGCTTCATACTCTGGTCATCTCACACCCTGACCCCCCAGAACTCCCTGCTTCCTGGTTCTCTGCTGCCTCACCTCACCTTCTTGTTTCGCCTCTGCTTGGCACGCCACCCCCAAAACCAGTCACCTCTCTCCTTGTTCTAACTATGGACTGCCCCTCCCTCATTCTCAGTATCGGCTTCCCATCTCCTCCAGGACTAGCAGCACAAGCTCTTCGTTCAGCAAAGGCCTCCAGCGCTTTCCCTCTTGATCTCCACCCGCCCCGGTCCCGATACGTCCACACCACCCTTTGCTCCTCCCTCCCATTGGCCTTTTCCTTCCCTTTGTTGGGTCTCTCTTGTCAGCATTCGCTCATCAGCCCCTTGAGACAGGGACTGGTCATCTGTCATTTGGTGAAGCATGGTACGCATGGAGAGCACTGCACAAATAGACCCCAAACCCCATGCCCCCACATCCTTCTCTACCGTGTCTTGCTTCACATTCACCACCAGGCCCGAGAAGATGTCTGAAACGTTTCGTCAGGGGTATATCGTGGAAACTTAAATGGGTCTTGAGCAGGATTCCCTCTAAGCTGAGTTAGTGTGAGCTAGCTCACAGTTTTTTAGCCTCCAGCCCACACATTTTTGTCTTAGCCCAGGAAGGAGGGCTCCAGAGCAAACTTAATTTATGCAGTAGCCAAATCGCTCACTCACAACTTTAATGCCAGTAGCTCACAAAGTAGAATTCTTGCTCACAAGATACTACGGCTTAGAGGGAACATTGGTCTTGAGCATCAAAACACCACTCTTCTGGACTTTGGTGTCGTGGTGAAGTGCGCGTACTCTGATCTGGGAGAACCGGGTTTGATTCCCCAGTCCTCCACTTGTACCTGGCTGGATGACCTTGGGCAAGCCATAGTTCTGATAAGAGCTGTTCTCGAAAAAGAGCCATTTCTGTCAGAGCTCTCTCAGCCTCACCGACCTCACAGGGTGTCTGTTGTGGGGAGGGGAAGGGAGAGGAGTTTGTAAGCCGCTCTGAGACACCCTTGGGTAGTGAAGGGTGGGGTATACATCCAATCTCTTCTCCTTCTCTCAGCTGTTCTCTCAAGGGCAGTCCTCGAAAGAGCTCTCTCAGCCCCACCGATCTCCCAGGGTGTCTGTTGTGGGGAGGGGAAGGGAGAGGAGTTTGTAAGCCGCTCTGAGACACCCTTGGGTAGTGAAGGGTGGGGTATACATCCAATCTCTTCTCCTTCTCTCAGCTGTTCTCTCAAGGGCAGTCCTCGAAAGAGCTCTCTCAGCCCCACCGATCTCCCAGGGTGTCTGTTGTGGGGAGGGGAAGGGAGAGGAGTTTGTAAGCCGCTCTGAGACACCCTTGGGTAGTGAAGGGTGGGGTATACATCCAATCTCTTCTCCTTCTCTCAGCTGTTCTCTCAAGGGCAGTCCTCGAAAGAGCTCTCTCAGCCCCACCGATCTCCCAGGGTGTCTGTTGTGGGGAGGGGAAGGGAGAGGAGTTTGTAAGCCGCTCTGAGACACCCTTGGGTAGTGAAGGGCAAGGGGTATACATATAATCTCTTCTTCTTCTTCTTCTCTTCTTTCTATGAACCTGTGTTCTGAAGGCCACATCCGCCTCCAGGCTACTGTGTAAGAGAAAGTACATTAAGTAACTTACCCGCCTCCCCCCAAAAAAACCCACACCCACAATTGTTTGAGGCGTACATACAGAGGGAAATAGGCGACAAAGTTGAAGGCGGGGGGTTGGGGGCACATATCCCACTTCAAATGTTCATCCCGTCCGATTTCTTCTGCTTCGCCAGCCAGGCATTCCAAAGGCTATCGGTTTTCTCTTGCCTCTTTGAATGTGAACATTCCCTTGGAATGAAGGGGCAGGGAATGATTGGCTGGCGGATCTTTGTCTGAGGAGGGTTGTCAGCTTACCACTCCGCTCCTGGATTCTACACGGGGCCAGTTCTCTGGCCAAGCAGCTCAAGGGACTGGTTGGGGCAGAAAAAACAGGAAGGGACCACTCAGCTTGGTCCGCACAAAAGAGGCGGCAGCCATTGCCTCCTGGACCTGCGGAGGACTGGACCGGGGGATGCTGCAATTCGAGGCAACGGTTGTAGCTTCTTTGGGGTAACAAAGTACTTCGAACTAGGGCTGCCAGCCTCCAGGTGGGGACTGGAGATCTCCTGGAATTAAAACTGATCTCCAGACCACAGTAATTGCTCATCCATCCATCCATCCATCCAGAGGTCGATTCGGGGGGAATCGCGGGGGATCGCCGTTCCCCTGGGTGAGTTGCGGGGGGTGGGGCACATGACGAAGCCCCACCCCCTGCTTCCGTCTGCCCCGCTTCCAGCCCTCATTCAGCCAGGAGGAGGCAGGAGAAGAGGGAGGGTAAGTTGCTTCCTCCCCGACTCTCCCCACCCCTGCCTGCCTGGGGCCATGGAGGGCCTTGGCGGGGCTTCCTCGCACTCCCGCTGGCCTTGCAGGTCCACCGCCAGGCCCCTGATGTCAGGGGGTGTGGCATATGGTAATGAGTTATGCTAATGAGTTCCCCTAGCTCTTTTTCTACGAAACGACCCCTGCATCCATCCATCCATCCATCCATCCATCCATCCAAAACATTTGT